AAATGTAGCACCGAACAATGTCCAGTACTTGCATTTAGTTTCTTATATGCCAATTATATTCATACCATTCAGTTTCTGTAGAATATACGCGTTTTTCATAGAGTTTCTTTGAATATACACGATTCTGTGAGGATGACACGCCTTTAGAGTGAATGAGCGAATTAGAATCAGAAAAACAATAATGTCTGATTATTTTTCACACTCATCGATTGTCATGACAACGATTTTTTGAGTTTCAAAATATCACGCGTATAATAAAGGACCAGACTGCGTTGCAATTTCGATTTTAAGCATTGAGGATCTTCGTGTTTATGAATGTCGATAACAGTCAGACCATGGAAAATTATTTCTGTGTTTCATTAGCCTAACGAAAACTCCACAATCACAATTAACACGAGCAGAATCCAAGAGGGAAACAACCGACTTTTATGACTTAAAGTCATTTAGATCACGTAGATCATTTAGATCATTTAGATCATTTAAGTCATAAAGTCAGTTGTTTCCTCCTTGGGATATTATAGTATTAAACGAGTTCAATTGTGATAGCTAGAAGAAAATTATTGACAAAACTATTAACAAACATCTAAAATTGTTCCAACTCGCATTTTGAGAGCAACTTTTGTATGTTGAAGTTAAAATGTAACTCAAGATTTCAAAGAAGTTTTATACTGTTTTGATTAATGTCAACCAAGTTTTTGAGGTAATAATATGCTGTCATTCGAAAATTGGAAGTTCATCATCAATTACATTTTACAGTAAAAATAATATTTTTGTTTTCAAAAGAAACTATTCTATTCTTTACTGATATGAAATTTCATAAAAAAAATAAATTCTATAATATAATATATTTAATCAATTCATTTTCTCGAATGGAACTTGTCAACGATTGAATGCTTATTTTTTTTTTGAGAAGATTCAGTTTAAGAGCTGAAAAACAATATTGACTTTTATCGAATGTCAGAATAACAGCAATTATGCTATATTATATTAGCATAAACCGATGTCCCGTAGCTCGATGGTTTCTCAGCATCTTTGACATTTTGTAATACGTTTCAACGTTTTCTTGAACATGTGTGATGTTTCTCTCTCGAAATGAAATACAGAATGGCCAATAAATATCTAGGCAACTAAAATACTCACTATCTGCCGTTCTCGTTAGTCAATTGGACTGTTTTTTCCCCTGTGTTAGAAGACTCCTTAAAGCTTTTATTCACAAGGAAACAATTTATGAGTACTGTTTTGTACTACAATTATTGATCTTAATAGAGAAATATACTACTGATCGAAAGCATCTCTCGACCTATGATCTCAGCCGTTCTTAAAGCTACAAAGTTGAAATTTCTAGCATAAGTACTGTCTAGTCTCGATGGCTTCAGTTGATGAAGAGTTACGATTAATGATAACTCTTCTCACGATGAGTTTCAGAACTCATTAATTGAAGGAACTTACGACTTGATCAATCTATGATTTTGTGAAATATTCGCAGATTTCGAATGCTTAGATGACACTCAATGAACTTTATTTCATAAATAGCCTCATTAAAGGACTACATTATGATCGGCTTGTCAAAACATTAAACTTCTTCCCTTCTTTAGTTATAGGACTCACAGGGAGAAGAGTTGCCATAGATCATAATTCTTCTTCAACTCAGACGAACGAGAATGAGTTGGTCTCACTGACCTACATTTCGAAAGTAGCATAGATGCTAATAATTTCATCTGTGTAGTCCTAAGAATGGTTGATACCGCGAAGTGCGACAATTTTGGTCAATAGTGCTAGTTCTGCACAATATCTATTTGACAGTTTCCATATAAATAAAAACTTTGACAAATTCTATATCATAGAGAATAAAATCAGTTTGATCGATTAAATTAGACTAGAAATATTGAATTTTTTATCGTCTACTTGTTCATGAGTCACCGTTACATGTATTCTTGGCTTCAGCGATTAACAGAAATTTGACCATATTGTCATACAAAATCATGATGATTTTTTGAAAATTTTTACTGATGTCTTTATCATTCTTGACAATTCTCATCAATCACTATTTCAAATCTTATTTTTATTGAATTAGTTGAAAAGAGTACTTTTGTGAAGAATATTAAAAGAGAATATTTTCGAGTAATTAAACTTCCGTATCTCTGGCAAATTTTATGAATACTCATCATCAGTAGTTTTCTGCTCTGCCTTCAATTATTGAAAGAAGCGCAAAATATTTAAATGAGAAGAGATAGAGTAGATCATATCATGAGTCTACTTTCTAGCTTTTTGGATATGCACATGGGATTAGCATCGAATACTTTTTTTTACGACCAGTTCGCCATTATTTTCCTTTATATCATAGCATTATTTCAATAATATTTCGACAAGTCTACTAATAATCCACATTTAAATGTTTATTGCTCAACTTAAGTGCATTTAGATGTTGTGCTCCATTGTCCCTAATTCTATTGTTTCCGAGATAGAGAACTTTCAGTGTCTGGAGTTAGCATGAAATAACAAATTTTGAAACAAGAATAGACAATCTTACTTACCTTGTTATCTTGCAACGCTTCAGCTAAATATTTCGCTCCGTTATCTCCGATTTCATTATGTTCAAGATCTAATGTTGTTAATGTCTATACAAATGAAGAAATATTTTACTGAAATAATAGCAAAATTAGTTATATCAACCTGATTATTTCTCAATGCATTAGTCAAATGTTTTACCCCTTCATCTCCAATATGATTTCCATTTAAACAAATTTCTTTGAGTGCCTATTTGAAAAGAACAATATTAATTAAAAGAAGATGGAGAAAATGAATTCTTTAACTTGGTTGTGCCGTACTACATCAGCCATACATTGAGTTCCCTTATCTCCGATGTGGTTTCCTCCAAGACGAAGGGTGAGAAGTGTCTGTAAACAAAAATGGAATGCCAATATGAAATTGAGAACAGAGTTATTTTGCCTTACAGTATTATCTTGTAGAGAATCAGCAAGATATTGGGCCCCTTCTTCTCCTATTACATTATCGTAAAGACTAAGATTTCTCAACGTCTAAAAGTAATATAAAATATAAATATGTAAGAAACAAGAAAACATAGTTTACTGACTGTGTTGGTTCGTAATGCATTAGACATAAATTGTGTACCGTCGTCGCCTATTTTATTTCCTTGAAGGTTGAGTTCTTTGATTGTCTGTGGAAAATATGAGGTAATGTGGTCAAATTGATTATAGAAGTGAGTACCTCGTACCCGATTGTGTTGTAATGCTTCAAAAAGATACTGAGCACCTATTTTTCCAATTTTATTATACGCAAGATCAAGGTAATTCAGTGACTATATTGAACGAGAAGCAGCAGAATTATAAACAAGAAACGACAATATTGCTTACCCTGTTATTTCGCAATACCTCAGCTAAATATTTCGTTCCATTTTCTCCGATTGTATTGCCTGACAATGAGAGAGTTTTCAGTGTCTATATTGAACGATAAGCAGTAAAACTGCAATAAAAAAAGACAATATTACTCGTCTTAACGTCTCGCAATGCGTTAGCTAAATATTTCGTTCGCTTTCTCCAATTATCTTATTTCTGACAGAAAAATTCTTAGTTGGACTAGGGGTGAGAAGTTATTGTTACGTTACCAGTTACTTGGTAACGTAACGATAACTTTCCTCCTCTAAATCAGACTTCCCTGAATTTGCTCTAAATTTTCAGTTTTTCCATTTTTGATTTTTTTTGTGTTCTGCATACGCTGCGCAGTATCCTCTATATATTGGACATACCTCAAGAATTAGTATACTGCAATAATAATCAACAAGTATGAGAAGATGTAAAAATTTTGCTAAAACTCACCAAAATTTTTACATTATTCTGTCCTCCTTCAAATTTGAGCTTTTGATGTAAAAGTGGAGAGTAGTCCCATTTTTCAAACTATATTAGGTCGCTTGAAGTCGATATTTTCTCCAGGTAATACTAAAAAGTGCTTATGGTAGTTCTTTCTCGTTATTTTAAAATATGAAGAAGCTCTAGTCAAAAATGATGCATTTTTGGGGGTGCTGTGAGGATCTTGGTGTTATTATTCTAAAAGAAGAAAACACAAAAAAACTAAAATATGTTGATAGTCAACACAATGTCTAATATCAGGAGAAAATTTTTCAACTATGTGAGATATATTACAGCCGATAAAGGGCAGCTATGACGGAGTCATTTTTACATAAGATATTTAATTCGAGTTTCAATGTAGATGAAGGTTCATCTCAATAATATCATTTCAAACATAAATGGAATGAATCGAATCCTCACTTTCTTATGAAAGGTCAAAAAATTAAGCGAAAGAATTTGGGGTGTGGGTGCGATGTGTGTGGGGGGTGGATGTGGGCACACCCATCCACACCAACACCAATACCAGTCACCAACACCCACCTATAGATACTACTAGGAAAATGAGAAATAAGTCTATAACAACTTTCGCTATATTTATCGAGATCTATCTGCTATAAAGGTTTCAAATTTCGCTAATGAGCTATTCTCCAGACATACTGAAAACAAAATTTCCTTAAGTATGCTCATTGAACAAGAATTGGGAAAAATTACAAGCAAGAAAAGAAAATCGTACTTACCTTGTCATTTCGCAATGCCTCAGTTAAATATTTCACTCCGTTTTCTCCGATTTTATTAGATCCAAGGTCCAATGTTGTCAGTGTCTTTCAAGATTAACGTATACTTCACAAAAATAAGTGCAAAAATATTATTATCAACCTGATTGTTTCTCAATGCATCAGCCAAATATTTTATTCCCTCATCTCCAATATAGTTTCCAAATAAGCTAATATCTTTCAATGTCTATACAAAAAGACAATATTAACTAAAAGAAGATGCAGCGAATGAATTCTTTAACTTTGTTGTGCCGTAAAACATCAGCCATATATAGCGCTCCTTTATCTCCAATATGATTATTCGACAGACTCAGTATGAGAAGTGTCTGTAAAAAAAACAAGAAATATCAATATGAGATTAAGAAAAGAGCTCTTTTTGTCTTACAGTATTGTCTCGTAAAGCATAAGCAAGGTGTAGTGTCCCTTGTTCTCCGATTTGATTGTTCAAAAGATCGATGGTTTTGAATGTCTATATGACATGAGGCTCATTCAAAAGTTTTGGATCGTCTTCATAAAAAATTGACTTTCTCTCCTACTGGAAACGAGAACTGGGCGAAATTCAACATGCTATCTCTCTACAGTTAGCGAATTTATAAGCCCTTCCTTCTTGAGAGTACAGAAACACACCACACACCTAATTGGTTTCGACATCACGAAAGGTTGGAGATGAGATTCTATTACCATCAAGTTTTCATGTATTGTAGCAAGAGTTGCATCAACTGATAAACGATGAAGTGCGCGCAAGAATCGCGAAATCAGAGTTTTCAAATTATCTGACCGATTACAGAACTGCTTTAATTGATCTGAGGAAGTATAGATTGACTGCAAGTTTTTCCTGGTTAAGTATTATCTGATGATGAACAAAGTAACAAGTTTTGTATTTAAGGCCCCCCCCCCCCCTCAAAAATCGATCTCAGGCCAGGAACATTCAAATTGCATGAAACTTTCAGGGTATGTTGGGGTTGATGAGCCATGACTATAGTAAAATTTTCAGCCCTATAGCACGATGTTTAACAGAGATATTCTCCAAACAAGAGTCAAAAATAGCTCAATAGTATCTCCAAGTTTTCTCAGTGGGTCTTCGTTCTAGTCATTTAATTTTTTTTTGTTTGAAAGAGCATGTCAGAATGTAGCCCCTCTCGTGACTCTTTTTTTTTAAATTCTTACTTTGTAAGAGAAGAAAAGGAATGACAAGTTCAATGACTCAAACAATTCCTAAAAAAATGGCGCTGTTTTTATAGAGCTGTTCTCTTATATGATATTAAAAAGGTTTATTTAAAAAAAAGGCCACGAGGGGGGCTAGCCCTAGACACAAGCTTTCAAACAAAAAAAAATATTTGACTTTACCTCTTACTGTGATAGAGTTCTGCTGGAGATACGTCGTTGAACTCACGTTCTGAGAAAAACGAAAAATGATTTTCGGTTTTTTGTAAAAATGGCTTGTTTTTCGAATAGGGGGTGACGAAAATCTTCCAAAATTTTTGGAAAAAAACAGGCGCTGAGTAAAAGATTTTGTCATTTATGAAAGAGCAGATGACGGGCTATTTTTCCATGAATTTATCTCAATTTTTCGATCATTTTGGGGAAAAGTGACTTTTTTGAGGGGGAGGGGGGTTAACTTGTCACACTTGTATGCTTATTTATTCTGAATACTTTGTGAACTTCGATAGGTACAGCAGAGATTCTAGTTAATACACTATTTTATTTGAGAGATTGCAAAGCTTTGGAGAAGTTAAATGGAAACTTCTGTTAGATACGTATATAATTACGTATTCGTATACTTGCTCATTCTTTTCAATTGGTATTTGTACATGAATTTCACGCCGTGTAAAGTGGATGGCCGCAGCTATTCGCCATGTTCTCGCATTATCTCGTTCTCATCGAAAGTTTCGCTCGACTGTCTTACTTCAGCACTGTCGACATTCGCTCGTACTTCAAGTCAAACGACTTATTCTTGCGTACAGATTGAAAGTCTTCTCAAGAGAGACAAAGATCATTGTGTCATTATCAACAATACAAACAGAAAACTGACGTCTGTCTGTTGAGAAGTATTTGAATTTCCCGCAATTTTTGATTCAAATGGTGGTCCTCTGCAACGTTTTCACAAATTTGTTTCTTGTCGTAAATGCTACAAGACTTACTCATTCGCGTCCAACGTATGACATCGATCTTTTGGCGAAAAGAGATGCTCCTAGGATTAGCCGGGCCGAGACTGAAAAATTCTTGGCGAGACGCAGGACGGGACGAAAGACAGTCTGTGAATAACTCCCGGCGGGCCTTAACGGGACAGTTTCTCAGCGTTTCGTTAGTCTCTGGTAGAAATTCACTAACGGTCAGGAATTAAATAGAGCAACATCTCAAGACATAGGAGACGCTATTAGATCAAGTGACTAGAATAAAAGAAAGTAAAAAGATATCTTGAGGCTAAGTAATGTAAAGAATGAGTGAGATAATTCAAGAAACAAGAAAAAATAATTTGAAAATGTCAACCATGAGTCTTTTATAACCTCAATTGATAAACATATAATATATGTGAAAGTTTTACAAATTTATCATTGATCTTACTAAATAACTTTCCTTTCCTCAAAGAAAGGAAATTGTAAGTGCCACCCCTATCAAATAACAAAACATCTTTAAAGACTGCTGTCGTTTATTATTATGTTGAGATTGGAGAGTAACTATTGTATACTCTGTTTACAAATAAAAAATGTTATTTTCTTGCTCTAAGGTCATGAGGAAAAATAACTTCTTCATAAATATTAACTTAGATATTTCTTCTTTAGTAGTAGAGCCAAGAATAGAGAAGTTTACCGACTACATGCTAAACTTTGAATACTCTTGCATCGATAGTAAGACAAAAAACACGAACTTTTTTTAAACAACCCAAAACTGCTGAATCACTCTTTATGAATATCAAATCATTCTATCACAACAAACTATCCTTTTGTTTTTATTAGTAATGTTCACTGTCCCAATCTTCCAGCTTGGTTTCACAAGATCAAGTATTTTCTTTCATTAGCTTTTAATATTTACGCAGATACAAATATTTTCAATGAACAAGATGTATCTCACTATTGTCGGATTTTTTTAAAGAATAACAGTCACCATTTTTCGAATAATTTCCGATCTTGTATACCTATCGAAGTTTGGTTTTCGCCATTAAATCGAGCAACATTGGGAGCGTCTATTTTCAGGGATATTTGAATCCAGTAGCGCAAGAAGTTTTAACATAAAACCAATAGAAAATTAAGGATATTTTAGTGGTACGACGACCAAAAAAATGTAAACAAGCATTTCTTTACTTAATTCGAAATAGGAATGATTGGTTGGACAAATAATAATAGAGAAAATTCTAGGATTTGTTAGATTTGATATTTTTCTCCAATAACTAAAACTCGATATGTTGATGAGATCGTGACAATATAAGAACAGGTGACCATGTTATTATATTCTCGCTCTTAATAGTATAGCAAAATTGTTTTACCTCGTTATTACGCAGAGCATAATAGGCCACGATTTCCATATCTTGATCAATCAAACTCTTTGATTTCAAAGTCAACTCTGAATTATTTTTCTTATCGGCAATGATTCGTTCAAGTTCATGATTACGGTATTCAGGTGGTGATAAAGCTGAAGCTGACTGTTTTACTAATGATGGTATCATATTTTCCACTGGAGGTGTTAATTTTGATGCAGCAACTGTTGGTTGTGATGGTTTATGTGTTACGTTTGATGCTGATGAAGGCGACACTAAAGTAAAGAAACCTATAGTTAACCTGAATTCATTGATGAAAATGAGCCTTGACTCATCTTTGACTCTAAAAATATGTTATAATATCGATATTCAATCAAGGATAGTACAGATATTCCGCCCCGACTTGTATAGAAAAGGCTTCCTTAGTGACGAAAGTAGTTGTCGTAGTATTTTTATAGAAAAAGAAAGGATAGTAAAACGTACTCTTCATGATGACAATGTAGCGATCTTGCTACACTAAGCAGAAAAGGGACGTAGTGTAAACTACCTGGAAGATATTTTTCAAATAAAACTCAGTTCACTATTGATCTTTGAGCATAAAAAAGAATGTATCTTTATGATGAATATTGTGATTAGCATTTATTAAATTCTATGCACTTAAACATGATCCACATTCCTTCGTTTTACTTTTTCGAAACACTTGAATTTTTAATTGATCATGATTTTTAGTCGAATCCAATTGTAACGTTTTAGTGTTCACATAACACAGTGGAAGTGCATTTTCAAAGATTGGTTTTAACACACAAAAGAAATTTGTAAGTTGTACTGATATATAAGAAACCTTTCTCATTGGATAGCTAAATGGTATCAATTATACAATCATTTTGACTATCATAGTTCATTGTACTTATTGTCCATAAAAATACTTATACCAGTGTCGTTTTTACTTGGGAATTATCTACTATAAAAAATTGAGATAGAGTCTCTGGTTCATACTTTAGATGATTTTGGTAGGTATTATACTGGAGAATAGTACCGTAACTATTTATAAGTTTTGCCTAGCGATTTCAATGAAACTAATCTTACATTTTAATTCTTGGACAGCAAGTTTTACGTCACTTTTCGATGTGATCTTACTATCAGAAGGGTGATTGTTTGGGATAGTAACGATCGGCACTGGTTGCAAGAGTGGATGAGGTGGCGGAGTTTCTTTGAGTTGAATTATATGAAGATCACCTTGATCAAGACAACCAATAACCTTAAATTGAGTAGCAGCAAGCAAAAGAATTTCATCTTCTGTTGGAAAAAAAGAATGATTTCGAATATCTTTTCCCGATTCGCATTCGATGTGGAACATGGTTCTTACACCTGTCTTGCCTAAAAATTGTTCTGATTGTAAAACATTTAATGAAGTAGTACATGATGAAAATCCCCACCATACAACTGTTTTCCCCATAATATATGATTTACTCAAATTCAGTTTGACACCTCGATAAATAGTTCGAGTTATTGATGGAAGACGAAAGAGTCCACTGAGAAAGAGTCTCAAATAGAGTAACCAAGGCTTCAATTTTCGTCGATCTGGTGATCGTAAAGTACTATTCAACACGAAGTAAAGACATTCATCAAGTGGTTCCCATCCCATAGAATAAAGCATAATCGCAGCTGACTCATCTTGTGTAAGTCCATCAGCAGGTTCTTCACATCTTTGCTTAGCTACATAAGCAAAACTTTGGATATTTGGTAGAAAATCGACAAGTTCTTCAATAGCTATCTCGAGTGGAACAAGTGGTAATTTTTCATAACCACAAATTGGTAAAAGATATTGATGTGGTTCTTGAGCAACGTCTGTTATACGTCGAATACGTTGTACTACATCATCTTCTCCTGCAGTCGCCATATCGAGTAGCAAATGGTCTTGTTAAATATAAGGATATAAAATTCTAAAAAGGACAAATTAAGAACTGTGTATCATTATTATGATTATCATTTCATATCGATGAATAAATAGTTATCAATTTCTCTATCGTAGAATTCGTAGATCTTGAAATATTCTCTTCAAGATATATTTATTCACGAATTGTATGATTTTTTTTTTGGTAATTCAAATACTAAAATTCAAGTGAAGATATAAACAGATAATATCGTTCTCCTAAAAGATTGAGGAATATCATAACTCATGATTTTTTGCCTATCATACATTGTAGGAAAGATGAACACTAGTTTTAGTCAATAGAAAAGACTCTCTCTTGTGCGAGAGAAAAACATAAGTTCAAATTCTATCTTCTATTTTACGTACAAATATGGCAAGAAGATACAAAGTTAAAAAACACCAGTTCCGAAAAACAACTCAAGATTAATATTCTCTCTCGACTTGCTCTGTTTCCTTTCGTTATTGTGCTATAAAACATAGTGTCAACCGTTTTATAGGTTGTTATCTGTAACTATGTGAGATAAGAAATTTAATATTAATGCTTGCATTTCATATGATCAGAGCGTCAACAACTTGGTTTTATGAATGCGATGTTTTTTCTGTTGTAATAAAACAGTCAAACACTTATAATTGAGTGTTTTTTCATCGACTATAATAATGATATATGGATAAAAGAAAACTTGTTGTTCAATGAAAACCTTTCATCTGATAAAGTTTTTCAGAAGCAGCTAGCAATAGTCTTTTAAATCTCAGTCTTTCTTTGTGGATTTATGAATTAGCATATGTAAGTGTAGGACTAATCAACTAACGAAATAACACCAAATTCTTCAAAATAGTTGTCATTTAGACCGATTCAGTCATCTGTAGATGATTAAATTTCTGTGTAGATGAGTTGAAGTAGAGATGTTAATTTAAAGCATTTTTATTGAGTTTTGAGTGAAACTATGTAACTGGAAATATATGCTACTCGATATTAATCAAACACATCTGCAGAATTGTTCAGTTTAGACCATGTTTCATTCAGTAGAAACCAGAGCTGGGCAAGTTGAAGGTTTCTCAAGTCACAAGTCAAGTCAAGTCACAACCCAAACTTTTTTTCGACCAAGTCAAGTCAAGTCACGTCCCAAAAATTTTTCGACCAAGTCAAGTCAAGTTAAGTCACACCTCAAAATTTTTTCGACCAAGTCAAGTCAAGTCAAGTCAAGTCATTTCTCAAAATTTTTTTCCTAGAAGTTAAGTCAAGTCCGATTAAAAGTTAGGCAGAACATGACATTTACTAGCACTTATCGGATGAGAATCAATTTTTATAGTCTGAGAATTCTATTTCATGGTAAAAAACAATGCCTATAACAAACAGAACTGGGCAAGTCAAAGGCTTCTCAAGTCACAAGTCAAGTCAAGTCACTAAAAAAACTTTCAAGTCAAGTCAAGTCAAGTCACGTCCCAAAATTTTTTCGATCAAGTCAAGTCAAGTCACACCTCAAAATTTTTTCGACCAAGTCAAGTCAAGTCAGACTTGACTTGACTTGACTTGACTTGAGGCATTTTTGACTTGACTTGCCCAGCTCTGGTAGAAACGAATACTTCATACGCTGGTCTTTGTATTTCACATAATGGAAAGACTTGAATTCACTGCTAACTTTGTTACACTGTTAAGAACATTTATTGTGAGATTGTTTTCATAGCAATGTATCAACACGTTCACGAAGGAAATCTCTGAAATCATTAATAAAACTGTATGATAGTGGCATCATGAGTGAAGTTAGAATTCACTGATATATTCGGTTTGGTTCTGAGTTAAGAGAATCCACTGATTTAAGGGAAAATTTTGACAACATCTGAGTAGCACATGGAATCCAGCAAATAAGAACCATAATTAATTTAAATGCAGGAACAAAGATAGTTTGTGTTCTCTGCTACTGATTTAACAGTATCTAGTCAAAAACTATTTTAGAATCATAGTAAAACGAGAGAAATATGCACAATAGCGTGTTCGTTCGTATTGATAGGTTGTTCACCTTAAACATGAGAGCAATGAAATCAGTCAACATATGTTTGAAAGAAATTGTAGTAAGATAAAAATAAGAAAAAAGTACCAAAACATATTTTCTTATCTTCCGCTCAGTTATTAATGAGCAAAGTTGTCTATCAATCGTCAAATTTCAACAGTTGATTTGCTGCACAATGAACTGAAACGACTCGACTTGTTCCTATGAAACAGATTGAGTTGTCACAAAACGTAACTTAAAAGCTAGAAATTGCTTCATCAGTTTTTTATCTCTTTCAATTTTTACGTCTTTTGATGAATTTTTCTCACATATAGCCTACAGTTATGTTATACTTATTGTTAAACCTTCATACGATCTGTCACACGATGTTCTTTTCTCTGTATTCGAATAGATAACAATACAAGAATAGCAGCCATTTATTATCTTAATTCTGACCAATTATGATTTCCCTTTGCTGAATTCCATGTATCTCCATGATGATATCCGAATCTCTCCTACATTCAGCGGATCACTTTATCTCCTGACCATATTTAATGTTCATCGTCTTTTGCGCAGAATGAGAAAAACTTAATCTGAATTAGTTTGTACTTTTTTCCAAAATCTTTGTCAATAGTACCTCTTACAATTCATTAAACATACAAAACCATCTTTTGACACTACGACATACTGACTAATAACGTCTCATCGAATATCATCGACATTGATGTTTTTAATAGACAAAAGAAATAAATAGACAAGATTGAAGTTAGATTATGATGACTGATGATGCGATGTTCTATCTTAATACGACTCTAACGTTCAACTGACAGAAATCGCATTCGAGTGTAAGACTTCTCAAATAGTGAAGAAAATGCTCAAAGTGAATGTTTTGGATATGTCTCTCTGAGAACCTATTAGGATGCGTCTAATAATTTCAATCATTGTTTGAAAATTGAATCTTTCTATAATCGTATCTAAGTTTACTCACTACTTCACTTTACCAAACAGGATTTTATCTGTCCCACTATAGTTGTCTCTCGAATATGATGATCCTAGAAGTATGCATTTGAATGTGGAAACATTCATAGAATGATCGTACTTTACAAGCCTCATCTGATAACTAGACAGTGTATGAACTTTTCTAGTTGTGACGACTCCTGTCGAATTTGCTAAGAATTACTAGTCACTTTACGATAAAACTGAGGTCAGTTTCCATGTAGTTGATTTCGACGAGGTAGACAACTATGATCACAATATTTGGAGTTTTTATTCAAAGATTATTAACTCAAAAAGTATCCTCTAAAAATATAATTTCTTAAGAAGCCTACCCGTGTAGAAAGAATAACTGTCAACAACCCATGCTACTCGTGTGCACTATATTGTATGTGAATGCAATCTAGTGAGAACTTACTGTTGGCAGTGATTCTCTGCAGTCCGTATTATGCGTCGTTAAACTGAAATAATGAAAATGTGAGCGATATTCAAAAAGAAAGCTCCTCTGTGCCAACAAAAATGTTCTTCTATGATTTTTCTTTCTCAACTACTGATGTGTTTTTTTTTTGTTGACACTCGAGAAGGTTGCTCGGCTTCTACAGAAAAGAAAGGCAAAGTTTTACGTCTCTTACTGCCAACTTTCTCTTTTTCATGTCTCGATACGCAGTCAGTGTCAAAGCGTGATCGCATTTAGTCAACAAATGTCTTGTGAAAAAAAACGACCGTTTTCTCTTCCAACCAAACAACGCAACAGTTTCTTATTCTGATTTACTGTTTCATGCTTCATGCACATAATCACATTGTTTTTCTATCATACAATCTATTATAATAACAAAGTAAAACAACGAAGACTTGTTTGATGTAGTGACACTTTTCAAAGATTATGACAATAAAACATTCTAACAGCAACTTTTCTTGAGGAAATAAAATTGTAAACGAACCACTTCAATCTAAAGAGCGAAATCAGTACGATTGAATTTTGAGCAATGATCTTTTAAATGAGAATAGTGTGTGTCTGTTGTCTTCTCTTCGCCCACACCCATACTGTGTGTAATGCATGAATGAATATTTGTTGGAGGCAAGGGATGTGGAAAAATTTGTTCATCTTCTTAGATAAAAATTCTTTTTTTTTGTTAACGCTTTTTTCTGTCGATTTTGTTTGTTGCTGATGGATTTTTCATCATTCATTTTAAAAGTACTTGCGAAGCAATTCTGCATCAAAACAAAAACAACAAAACGAAAAATCGTACTAGTATGAATAATATTGTCATTATTGCTAAACTTTTTCCCACGTAGTAGTGAGTATGCGCAGCTAGAAGTCACGTGCTTGGAACCGATAAAGTTTGAAAAATAAAGACATTCATTCTGACGACTTTTTTTTTAACGAACGAACAAGAATTCATTTTAAAAGTATTACTTCCTTTTACCATTAATTGTCTATCTGTTTTGCTTAATATACCCTCTGATCGTCACCCTTATCATGAAATATATTGGCTTGATGAAATAATCTTTGACAAAAGTATTTCCTTCAGTTTCATTTGTCTTTCAGATACACAATTAAATGGAGATAATCTAATCCTTTTTTATAGATTCAACTGAAAAACTTGATTTTGTATAATAAAAATAAAATTTATAAAGAAAAAATATTACTAATTCGATTAGATTTTTCCATACAAAATATAATAAAGAAAGAAACATAACTCACACTATCATACGTGGATACAGCTGCATGAACATTACAATAGGTTGTTAACAAAATGAATATCTTTCTCTAAGTGCAGACGCAGATAAATATAATTTGTATTTTTGAAAAATTAATCACTTCGTTTGTACGTTCTTTCGTATTGTTTTCAACAATCAGTTTTTTTTTCTATTACAACTTTAGTTCTATTATTTACATTACTTTTCTAAACATGGATAAAATTCTGTTTATTGATATCGAAATGGCTGAATCAATTCATTTTCAAGCAATAATTATACTCTATTATACGAACAGAGTAAAAATGTATGATAAAGTTGGTGGTATCTCATTTGTTATATTTATAACCCGACAGTAAACCAACTATTCTAATAAAAAAAATATTTCGATAACAAAATGTAGTGCGTTAGGTGTGGCTACGACTGAATAAAAACTGTACCACTATTTAACATTTTAGCCAGCGTCATCTGTCGATATATTAGATTAACATATACTATTCGAAGAGTAAAATACTGATAGTGAATAATACAGATTTCCATGAATTTTTTTTTTTATAGAATACGAAAATGATTTCGTTCGTTTCCAAATTCGTACTGACAGAAAAAACACTTAGTAGCAAAGACAAAAAACAAAAAAAAACGATTCAATAAGTGATCATTTTCATAAAATAACATTGTTGTCTACTTCGATTACAAAACTTCGAAAGAAATATTTTCTTCAACCATTAAAAACACCAAAGATCTGCTATTTTGTTTTGCTAAAAATCAATTCTTTTTACTTATTTTTAGTATTTAATACTCATAAACGATACTCTATTATAATATTCTCCTCAATTATCATTTATTCGTCTCTGCAAACAAATGAAAAATAAGAATAAAGTTAAAGTTGAACCATCATTAAGACCAAAACTACCAACTAAAGTTAATATTATTGATAAAGAAATAAAGGAAGAACTTTCAAATGATTCAGGAATTGTAATTGATCAACATCAAAGTTCATCATCAAAAATTCGAAGTTTTTCACCATCTTCTAATCAAGTAACTATAAATTTTAATGAGCAAAACTTAACAAATTCACATAAACATAAACAACGAAAACGAAAGCGTCATATTCGGAAACAACAACGAAAACAACTTATTTATGAAAAAGAATTAATTAATAAAAGCCAATCATCATTACTATTTTCTCAACAACAAAAACCACATAATTTATTATCGGAACAAAATGAACATAAACAACAAAACTTACAACATTTGTTTGATGAATATTCAAATGAAACTATTCTTAAAGAATGGAAACCATTAACATTTGAACAATCCAATGAAATTTATAAATATGCTTTTGATAAATATTATCAAAAACACTATTAATAATTAAAGTTTTTTTTCTTATCTTATTATTAAAAATAATTATTTATATATATATCTTACTCTGTTAATTTTTTTGTGTGAATAATGTAAACAAATTATTGTTATTTATTAAAGATTCTTTTTTTTCTGCAAAAGTAAATACTCTTTGATTTTTAAAAGATAGAAAAAATCGATCAGGTAATTTATTTTAGACTTTAGAGAGAAGTAACGTCAATGTGACCACTTATGTTGAAGTAGGCTCGTTCTATCCAACTATGAAATCAGATTTCCCATCAATGCTACTACTCGCGAGAGAACACGTCCATGTGCATCATGTAGATTATGAAAAGAAAACCGTTGAATTGTCATTATTGTAATCATTTGTTTAATAGAAAACATGGTGAACTTGGGCAATACACAAATAGTGAGAACTGTAATAAAACAGTTGTATTTCAGTCAATATGGTATTTAATTTTTTGAATAATTATTACGATCGCTGAAGTAGATCACACCACTTAGATCTTTGCATATGTATGCGTATCAAGATTTTTTGGCATTGGGTCATTGCCCAATGACCGTACCCCTGACTATGCTATTGGTATGAATATATATGTTCATATACGTAGGATCCGTTTCGTGAATATTAACGATTTTTATGAGCTATAATAATCAAAATTCTATTTGAAATCTGTTGACGTTGAATTGAACTTTTAGACAATTCGATATCTGTTGTTTTCTCCTGTGTAGATTGTATTGATTCTTAATAAACTCTATAAAAACAGATGAACTTTAGGTCTCAGATGAATTTCAATGGCGCCGAATTTTTTCATCATTTCTTGACATCTAGGATAATATTACTCTATCATTTCAAAAATTGAATCGTTGAATAGAATATAAATAGGATATGAACACATGCACGTTTCAATTTTTTGAAGAAGGTCCTTTAAATTTAGAAAATAAATTGAATTAAATTACAGTAGATATTTCATAAAAAAAAATTTGATTTTTCTATCTACATCAACATGTAATAAAGAAGAGAACAAATCTATTATATCACTTGAAGACTAAAAGAAATGAAATTTTCGATTGATAATATTTAACATATGAAGCAACAATATTTACGTTAATTATCATTTGTCAGACGATCTTCATTAATACGACAATATGCCTTCAATGGTGATTGATAAGCATAATTGAAGTTATTCAAGTCCAATATTAATGGATCGATCTTTATTGTCAAGCTAATGGTTGTTTTTTTCGAAATAACTTTTGATAGGAACAACGGAGAGAGTTGAGGTTTTCACCATTCAGAAAACAACCCTCTTAGCCATCAAACTGTGTTAAAACCTGATTGATCAGTAATTGATGTTCACGTCTTCCAAAGTCAACTTGCTAAAATGGGCAAATTTCTGGAAAGCTCTTCGTACTATACGTCAAAATCTAATAGAGAATGACTTCAGAAGACATAGAATCTACGATAAATAACCCATTTCAACATTCTTTCAAAGTTACGAGTCACGAAATTCGTTATCGTTTTAAATAAGAATGAATGAGTTGTTAACGGAATTGACTTCATAAATAGAATCAGTCTACCTCCCAAGCATCAGACTATCGACAGATGTTCAATCTAAAATTTGTACTGGTAACGGTCTGAGATTTTATGCCAATCTAGGGATTAAACGATATAAACCTTAAAACATTGAGAAAACAATTATATTCAATTATCTTTCATAGAAACTACTTCCGAGACAACAAAATAAAAAAACTGTTTGCTGATAATTGGTGTTTTTTTTTTCGTTATTCGAAAATGTTTGTATAGCAAGAGGATGAATATGATGAATTTCAGCTATTAATATAGACGCAGGCTATGAAACTCAAAAGTTCTATGTTTAATTTAGCTGGTGGCATAAAATCACCTGATGCCATGAGAACATCCGGAAACTTCTGTTCTGTCTTATCATTGATAAGTTACATGAGAAATCTTCTATCAAGTCCCTAAATGCTCGATAAATCTTTACAAAACGAGTTTATTTCACTGATCTCACATGCATAGAATGAACATAGCTACATAAATGAAAAAAAGAAAGTTAAATGTTTTTTCGTCAAATTTATTTATGTCAATTGTTCATCTTAAAGTTTGAATAGCATAGAAAAAAAAACATTTTAAAGAATAAATCTCGACGTGTATACTTGAAGATATGTTTTGTTCAATTATGAATGCGCTGTTTTATGATAAAAAACACCACGGGACTTTAGAAAGATCTACTCATGTGTGACCTGTGAGAATGCGTATTGCCCAATGACGTCTGAAGTGACTTCACAATAGGTTTCCAATAGACTGTTCGTTTCTATTAACTATTTTTTTCTAACTCGGAACTCACTTGTCGCTAAGATGACAGGAGAAAAAATATTGTCTATACTGAGCGTAGATAGTATTATGGAGATAACTACTAAAAAACAAATCAATAAATTGTAGAAAGTATTTTTACGAAAATCATTTCTTAGAGAGAGGCTTTATTTTTGTTAGTCTAAACAAAACGATATATAAAAAAACAATAAATTTTTTCACATTACAAGTTAAAAGCAGTAGAAATCTATCCGAACATGATCAACATCATGTTTCCCTGCGTATACCTTCTGTTGCATACGCAAAAAAAAATTTTATGAAAAATAATCACTTTCTAAATAGTGTCAATTGTATTATTTCTGTCTAAAAAAAACATAAATTATTTCTTAAAGAACGTTTTTAATCAGTTTAATTAACATTAGCAAATAATCTTCAGTATGTCAGACTAAGGACCAACCATTTTGTAATTTATTGTTTAACTTTATTTATACTGCAGGTTCACATCATACACATCTTCACCAGGAAAATGAAATATTGATACATACTGATTATTGGAGGGAATAACATGTAACTAAAGGTATAATGTTATTTATTCTTGGCAAGTTATCTTTAGTTTCTATATTTTCAGTTAAGATCATCGTATATAAAAGCATTTGTATCAAGAGGGGTAAAATAGTTTGAGCATCACACATTAATTATAAATGACAAACATTACGATAAAGAAAGGGAAAAGTATAGACATAGATAAACAAGACAATACAATTATCAATATTACGCAAAAGAAAAATAAGTTTTCGTTGCTTCGTCATCGAGTCTTGCCATTTAAGCATGTTGTTCTTCTTCTTCGCCTTCGACACCTTCACCTTCCTCTGCAATGAACAACAAAAAATAACTTATATAAAAAATATATAAATAAAAAAAACGAACCTTCAGCTGTTGCATCTTGATATTGTTGATATTCACTCACTAAATCATTCATATTTGATTCAGCTTCAGTAAATTCCTACAAAACCAAAAAATTTACACTACAACAAACACATATATATCTTAACTTACCATTTCATCCATGCCTTCACCTGTATACCAATGTAAGAAAGCCTTTCGACGAAACATAGCTGTAAATTGTTCTGAAATACGTTTGAATAATTCTTGAATTGCGGTACTATTACCTACAAATATACCATTATCATTAAAATACTTTTTTAATAATATACATTTTCATCAATAATCATACCAATAAATGTTGCAGCCATTTTAAGTCCACGAGGTGGAATATCACAAACAGCTGTTTTAACATTATTTGGAATCCATTCAACAAAATAGGATGAATTCTTATTTTGAACATTTAACATTTGTTCATCAACTTCTTTCATTGACATTCGACCACGGAATATAGCAGCAACAGTTAAATATCGACCATGTCTTGGATCACATGCAGCCATCATATTTTTAGCATCAAACATTTGTTGAGTAAGTTCAGGAACAGTTAATGCACGATATTGTTGTGATCCTCGTGATGTTAATGGTGCAAAACCAGGCATAAAAAAATGTAAACGTGGAAATGGAACCATATTTACAGCTAATTTACGTAAATCAGCATTCAATTGACCTAATTAAAAAAAAATACAATAAAAATGAAACAATGAAAATGTTAATTATATATTTATACCTGGAAATCGAAGACATGTTGTTACACCAGACATTGTAGCTGATACTAAATGATTAAGATCACCATATGTTGGTGTTGTTAATTTTAATGTACGAAAGCATATATCATATAAAGCTTCATTATCAATACAATATGTTTCATCAGTATTTTCAACAAGTTGATGAACTGAAAGTGTTGCATTATATGGTTCAACAACAGTATCAGAAACTTTTGGTGATGGAACAACACTAAAGGTCATCATAATACCTGAAAATAGTCAAGTGAAAAAAAATGTCTAAATCAAAAAAAGAAATATTAATGTTAAACTTACGATCAGGATACTCTTCACGAATTTTTGAAATAAGTAATGTACCCATACCAGATCCAGTACCACCACCAAGTGAATGAGTTAATTGAAAGCCTTGAAGACAGTCGCATGATTCTGCTTCTTTGCGTACAACATCCAAAACTGAATCAACCAATTCAGCACCTTCAGTATAATGACCTTTGGCCCAATTATTACCAGCACCTGATTGACCTATTAAAATAAAAAAAAAACAAAGTTATTTGAATTTAATTCTAAGTAATTTTTTTTTTAATTTTCTAGTTTACCAAAAACAAAGTTATCTGGTCGAAAAAGTTGACCAAATGGACCACTACGAACTGAATCCATAGTTCCTGGTTCAAGATCAACAAGTACAGCACGTGGAACATATTTGCCTCCTAAGAAATAAATATTATTATTTATAACATTTTGTTATTTGTAATAATTTATGTTTACCAGCTGCTTCATTATAATAAACATTTATACGTTCAAGTTGAAGATCAGAATCACCATGATATGTACCTGTTGGATCGATACCATGTTCATCAGAAATAACTTCCCAAAACTAGAAAACCAATGAAGATATACTTAAGATATTGTTTTTTCGAAATTTAGTATTTTTACTTTAGCACCAATTTGATTACCACATTGACCAGCTTGAATATGAACTATTTCACGCATTTTTGTTATATTAAGTCAATAGAGGCAAAGTTAAGCAAGCTGTTACAAGAGGGCAGTCAGAAAAGAATTGTGTAACTTTTATAGCCGACGACGACGACGACGAAGCAAACGAATATATACGATAGAGTAGTATCTGTGGCTTTAGTTAAATAAGAATATAAAATCAAGAGAGAGAAAGAGAGAATAAGAAAGGAAAAAGAATAGAGCGATGTTTGGCTTTGCCCTCGCCGGCGAAAATAACTCGTTACTATCGTTCTTTCTTCCTACTGATAGAGACAAATGAACGTGGATGTTTCATTGGTTATAGTAGAAAATACATATTTACATACAGAAAAACTATCGGAGAATTATACTCCATGTTAATGGATGAAATCGACGTAAGAATTTTTTGTATTCATTCAACTGATGTATAGTTATTCCAACTGTAACTTGTTAATACATTGGACACTTATATCAGATCAATTAATATGCAGAGAACCTACTATTGAATGTGAAATATTGCTGAAACATATCACAAACTGTATGTCTTATTGTTCACTTTTCACAACACCTACACAGCCTTTCGATACGCATCAGTATAATGTTCTACAATCGATTGATTGGATTATATGATAAAGTGCACAATAGATTTTTTTTCCGATAAGATTTATTTATTTTTTAGTTAAGAATAATGAATGAAAAAAAAGCATATTTTGTAACGAATAAGTACGTGTGACATGAATCACGAAAGTACGACAAATAGACAATAGAATAAATGTATAGAGATAAAGAGATACACGACAAAATTTTGAATATTGCAGAAAAACAGAAATAGCTGTTTATCCATTGCCATCTTTTATGCATGTTGTTCTTCTTCTTCGCCTTCGACACCTTCACTTTCCTCTGCAATGAACAACAAAAAATAACTTATACAAAAATTATATAAATAAAAAAAACGGACCTTCAGCTGTTGCATCTTGATATTGTTGATATTCACTCACTAAATCATTCATATTTGATTCAGCTTCAGTAAATTCCTACAAAACCAAAAAATTTACACTACAACAAACACATATATATCTTAACTTACCATTTCATCCATGCCTTCACCTGTATACCAATGTAAGAAAGCCTTTCGACGAAACATAGCTGTAAATTGTTCTGAAATACGTTTGAATAANTTACCAGCTGCTTCATTATAATAAACATTTATACGTTCAAGTTGAAGATCAGAATCACCATGATATGTACCTGTTGGATCGATACCATGTTCATCAGAAATAACTTCCCAAAACTAGAAAAAGAGCCATCATAATTGATGAATGTATAGAGTTATTCATGGAAAAGGAAAACTGGAAGTTATTTACAATTTATTGACTAAGAATTTCTTTTCCATGTATTATTATAGAACACAAAATATTGTTTTAGATGAATTTTGTTTAGTCTATAAAGATGAGATCTAATCAAGATATAGTGAAGTGTAAGAAATTTTCCAGTACTTAATGAGAAATAGAAAACTCTATTGCTTAGCTTTATCTTCATACTTTTGATCCTATTTGGTTTCCACATTGACCAGCTTGAATATGAACGATTTCACGCATTTTTCTTGGGCTGTTGCTTTGTATAGTATGAAACTATAGTGTGAGAGACGTCGAACTGCAACGAGAGAGACAGCAATTTATAATACTCGACGGACGATCAGATAGTATGAAGAGGAAAGAGAGAATGTGTATGAGAGAAAGAAAGACAACAATAACAACAGGCCGCGAACATCGTTCGTTTATTTTTCTCTCTTACGCTCACCCGCTCTTCGGTTAAACAGACGGACGGATGATAAACTTGCGTTGCTTAAGCATTATAACGCACACACATGCATATATATACAGCCTATCGGAAGAAGCGACGACTGATAGAAATGAATGAGTCATACGTCTACATATGATCTATATATATGGACATAGAAAATAGAATGTAGGAGTTCGAAAAAGCGCATATCAAGCTATTCACTGCACGCTTCATTTGTCATGTAGACCTAGACTGTTTATTGTGCATGATAAGCAATTATGAAACAGTTAAAAATAAGAAGAAGAAAGAAAAAGAAGACTAAAATATGTTATTTTTGTTTATTAAATGGTTCGTAAACATGTTAGTTATCATAAAAATCATCGGATTCATTTTGATACATGAATGTCTTCGAGAAGCTAAAGATATGAAAAATTTTTGTAAGATAATAAAGTTACACCTATTTTCTTTCTCTAAAAATAGGTAAAATAAATTCGTTATTGAGTTGAAAGAAAAAGAATTCGAAAAAACATAGACTGATATATGAAACTTTTTTTTATTTTAATTTCTGATATATGACAAATTGAGAGATTAATAGTTAAGATAAATTCAGTCTTCTAATTTATTTGATAGTAAACTTAAAGTACTCCATCATTGACAAATATATCTTATCGCAATCAGTTAATCATGTGTTTTTACTCAAGGAAGCTTCAAGAATATAAAAAAAAGATATAATTTTTAATTTTCACCGATGAATAAACAGGATATATTTCTATGAAGACTGTTAATAGAATGATTGCTTCTGTTTTTGAATGAAGCTCTACAGCATTAAATTTTTTTACTCCAATGATTTTCACTTCTGCAACGCAGGCAATATTTTTGACTAACATATATATATATATACTGGCTTTTTATGCTACTTTTTAATGAGAATGCCTCACTCGTGTTTTTTTTGCTCTTGAAACTTATGAATCTATAAATTAGTTTTTTTTGTTCATTACTTATGATATAAAATTCGAATATCTCGCTTCGTGCATGTTAAGAGTAGAGTATAGTTTTTGAAGAATTTCTTCGCACAGAGAGTGAGTTATTTGATTATCTACTATCAACACATTTATAAATAATCAAAACAAAAAAGAAAAGAAATTGTTCCGTATGATAGTCGATCATTAGAGGAAGATTGTATACTTAGTTTTTATTATACAAGTACAGGTTTTCTTGAGTACGAATTATGGAACTGCGGTCCACGTTTTTGTGGACTTGGGCTCAACAGAACCAAATTCAATATTTTAAAGAAAGTCAGCGTATAGATATTTCCTGTTGCTCACTTTCTCATTACTCAATGCTCAATAAATTAAAAGTTTATGCTTACGAAGAAACCTCATACTGATGCCCTCTTTCGATTCCAATGATTTTTTTTGCTTATAGGTACTACATAGAAAGAATTTGGGTTCATATTGATATTTGCCTAAACTATCATTTTTTTTTCTAGGGGTTTCAGCTTATCGAAAAATTCATATTCTCGAAATTTTGTGCACATAGAGAACTCAACTAGACTAGCTTCCATATAAAAACTCCAAAGTTTTGCACAAGACGTTCAAAATATAGGCCATTTTCCATTGACAGTGTATGCAACATGCATTTGTGACAGCTGCATATCTCGAGGAGATTTTATTTAAAAATTCTGAATTTCTATAAGGAACCTAGTCTAGTTGAGTTCTCTGTGTGCACAAGTTTTCAGATGAAAATTTCAACATACGAATTTTTCGAAAATTTCAAGTTTCTAGAAAAGAGACATATTAAAAATTCTATAGCTTAGTCCGAAGTATCAATAGAAATTCAAATCCTTTTGAGCATTATGTTGACAAAAAAAAAAGGAAATTGAACAGTTGATTGACAAACGAAATTCATCATTGAAAATCATATAAAACCAAGAGTAACACCGAAGTCTTTAGTTGCATGGAATAATTTTACTTGTATTTATGTAAACGAAATCAAACAAGAATATATTCTATGGAATCAATGTAAGTAGTCGTGAGTTCATGTTTTTGCGGATCTGGACTCGGTCAGGCTTGGCTCTGTAAAAATTTTTATAGTTGTCTGAATACTTTTCTTATTGTTCACAACGTCTTTAAAAAATACTCATATCAGAGGTAGACACAAGACAACGTTTTTTTCTATCCTGTCATATACTGTGTCCATCTGTAATTGGAATGACTTCAAAATAGTGTGTTTTTCTATGCTCGAATAGAAAAGTTTTCTCAAAGGTGAAGTTATATTGTTTCGTATGTTCTCAAAATATGATATTATAGAAAAATTTGCTACCTACTCAGCACTAGTAAACTACATTGATCCTAATGAAAACGATATTTTTATGTTCCATTCGTCTATTGATATCAGCAGTAATCTGAATTTTCAAATAGAATTTTCTGGATTGATTGTTTATAATTTTCTTTAAAATCACTCAAAAATCCAACTCAAAGCTTAATTCAAATGAAGAATACTCATAAGCGTTGACGGCTTCACGTTATAACTACTTAAAACTTTGTACTACCTGTAATCATGACCTTCAAGATGGTATTCATAGTTTCAAATATAATCTAAAATGATCAAAAAACCAATATCACTGTCTCAAAGTTATCATCATAAAGTTTTCTTATTCGTCCTTATTCCTATGAGAATACTTGATGAAAACAAATTTAATCAAGTAATCTTGATGGGAAACAAAGCAAAAAAGCTTTTGTATTATACATTACTTGTTGTATGCTTATGTTTCTATTGAAAAACTTATCAAAATTAAATTTTATATTTTCACTGATTTTTGAGATAATATGCCCAGGAAAATTTATTTCTCTTTGCAAATACTTGTTTATGTTTTAAATAATCTATTACATAAAAATCGATATTATATAAGTTACCTTCGGCAAGTTTCAGACATCAGTAATGTTGGACAATTTTGCAATGACAATATACTGTCTAAGAAGAATCATGGGGGACAAATGGTATTTTTCGAGATTTAGAATTGATCCACAGGGCTCTATTGATAGTACTATTAACTGTTCTATATTATCAAACGGTGAAAAACATTCAAACAAGTGAATAGATACTCTTTATCTTATAAAACTTGTTTATTAAAATATTACAAGAACAGCTGGCAAAAAAATAAAAACTATCTGAGCATAATTTATTCTATTCTTTTATATTTTCATAGAATAGATCTGTCAAATTTATATGTAGCCATTTCTATGTTTCTTGGATGTTTTTCTTAATTATCGTGTTTTGCAAATTTTTCTTTTCAATACATTATTTATCTAACAATTCGAGCTATATTCTATATTTTGTTAGAATTTTTTCATGCAGATTTAAACAATACAGTAAAAAAATAGTTTTAAAAGCTTAATAAAAATGATTATGCCCATATAATCTTATTTAACTTGTTGTAAATTTATATAATCATTTGTCGTTATATTTAAATAAATAATCTAGATGATCAACTGTATAAAAAAATCTTTTCTTTTAAACCTAAAAAAGCAAGATAAATAGTGAAAAATTGCTTAACAAAGTCAAAGTTAATATTGATCCTATCGATTGATAATTCATTTCAACATATCTCTTTCAATAGCATCTATAATGCACATTTAAATTTGACAACCATATGGTATAAATGCTTATTTACCTTTTTCTCTTTGTCTCTTAAACTACAAAACACAAAATGTACAATTCATCTCTGTGCCGATCTATATCCTTTGTGAAAAAACAAACAAGATATGTATTTTTCAATTAAGTTTAACCAAGCATCCTTCTTGTTCCCATTAGTAGAAAATTACAAAAATGTTATTCCAATCTTAACTAGGTTCAAAACTCCCATCTGACGCTCCCTACCAGAGAGATATATGATGACATCGATTCGCTATTCTCTCATCGCATTTTATTCATCAGGTTCAAATAAATAATGTTTTTGGTTGTTAATGATGATGTATGCTTTTTACACACGTTTTTCTCTCATTTCGTAAATATCGTAATGATACTTCATGCAAGTTACAAGCTACAAGAGAGCATTAGTGGAAGGAATTTTGGCTACGAACCAACCAAAAGAACGCTTTCATATTATACAGATATCGATGTTACGTACAGCAAAACCGACTGGATGTCGTACGATCGATATGAAAATGGAAATTGAAGAATATCTTAGTAGTAGTGCTATTCCTTACTCGGCCTTGCGGACAGGCACTTACATGGATGACTTCACCGGCACTCAGCTCGAATCTATGCCAAATGGTAGGTATGCACCAATAATTTCAGATCGTGCACGGTTGTGCTTAACTGATCCACGTGACATTTCACAAGTTACTATTGCTTTACTCGATCGTCCACTCAGTGATCATGTCGATATAATCGATCCTACTGTCTACACTATAAATGATATTCAAGCATGTTTTCAACGTGCCTTCAGACCTAATTCAACAGTCAGACTCTTTCTACCAGCAAGACTGGTTAACTGGGCTCTAGTTCCGATAAAGATCTTGAATTTGTTGGTGACTCACAATTAATGGCAAAATTTGTTCCAAATGTCAAACCAACAATGTTACCAGAATTCTTGACTAGTCTAGCAAATGAAAATCTATAGTTCATTACGAACATGTGCGATATAATGTTGAAATCATCATTGTGATAATTGAATGTTAGACTATCATAAATCTTTATTTTGATCTGCATGTAGAATCTAGCAAACTCGAAAAAAAAATAGATTCGATCATATTTTTTAGAACATAGATATGTGTACCTTTCAATTCTAAATAAAGTCTATCGTCATTCTTCTTTGTATGCTTCTACAATGAAGCAGAGTAATTGACTATATGAAGGAAACGGCAAAACATCAAGATATGATTCTGACATATCACGCCTATGCAAAAAGACGTAAGAAAAGATAGCAGCTATTGTACTAATTTTCTCACACTTTTTGTGATAAGAACAGAAAGCTATGTAATGCAACATAGTGACGGCGTACTTTAGAATGCTTCACTTGTCTACATTAAAAATTCTTTCTTTTTTTCACTGGCAACAATCACTGATAATAGATATATTTTTACTCATTCACGTAAGAATAATAGGAATCGCGGAATGATATATGAATATTTTACCTAACTGATCTGTTCTGATATGATAACATTCGTCGATTTGGAAACGATAAAAAAACTTTTATCTTTATTGATTAGATCGGTTCAACTGAAAGTTTCAGATGCACTTTCATTAAAATCTAATCCATAACAGTTATAGCTAAACGATTATAAAGGATATTTTCATGCCTAAGTAATGATATATTGTCGTGTCCAATCTTTCTACTTGGTAAAATAGCATTATGAGTCAGCAGAGTGCTGACACTGATTTCTTGCATAGATCTCTGAGGAATGTTAGTTGCTTTGTTCTGCATGAAAACTTGAATATTTTTTATAACCTATTGATTCGACGATAATAGCGTCTTTCACTTTTATTGCCCCTTTTTTGCTTCGTTCTATCTTTCACTATAATCTGTGGTTTCAACAATCAAATTAATGCATTGTGAGAACTGTGAAACTTATTTTGAATTTAACCTAAGTGTTTCTGAGGAAAAATCCAAATCGGAGAAATCTGTGATGCTCTCTATAAATATTTCTTGCACTTTTTTCAACAAATATCAAGTTATACCCGAAACGAATTTCAGATTGATAATCAGAGAATATTTCATGAAAAATTTGTTCACTAAAAGTGGTGTGTAGGCTAAAGTGCATTTTCTTTTACGTTCACCCGGTCATCCATCATATAGCGTTATAATAAATTTGAATGGAAAAAAATTGACATATGCAGTATTTTCATTGGATAAATACTTTTTACTACTTGTAAATTAAAACATTTTTCTAGATGAATATTAGTCTATCGCTCTTTTCCAATCTTCAAAAATTATTTTTCGAATAGAAAGCGCTCATAGAGATCACTGACACATACGCATATATCTTAGAAATGCTGAGTTTCATACGAAGAAAACTTCACATACCTTAAGAGGAAAAAAACAAGAGTTAATAGAAAATTGATTTGGTTAAAATCATGGTATAACAATGTGCATTTGTGATTAGAAATATCATATCATATATTCGTGAATGAGAGTGTGATACATTGAAGTAAACTAACAGGAGAACATAACTGTATTTTTATTTCATAGTGTATCATTGAATAATCGAATTTCGATGACAAGTATACTCATGTCACAATGATGATTACATGAATTCCTCCAATTCATGTTCTAGGACGTTAGCAAAAGTCATGTTTTCGTTTTTTTTTCGCTTGCGAAAGCCTTTTTCTATCCATTTATCAATATTAATTATGTATAAATCGATAGAAGGATTATTTTTACGTCGAGTATTGTTTGACTTTTGCAATATTGACTATGATACATCTTTTCCAATATCTTAAAAATTTTCAATCTAGAAGTTACTACGAAATGTGCAAGACTTTTATAGGGAAAAAAATTCAATTTGATACAAAAATGTATTTTAATGGGGGGTTTTGCAAATTTCTTTTATGGATTCGTCATGACCGAAAAAAATATGTATCAAGTGATCACCATGACACTGTGGCATGCTCTCTCAAGAAGAATTTCTTTTTTAAAAGACGATAATATTGACCAAGAATAATAATGTGAAATTAATTAAGACAAGAAAGCGATATTCACCGGAAAAGGTGCTTATCATCGTTATTACGAAGTTTATGAAACACAAGATCAGATTAAAGTTTTGACTAGAGACCTGCGGAGGACTCCGAAACCCGATTCCGACTCCGACGCCGTCAGAGTCGAAAAAACAAAAATTTTCGGAGTCAGAGTCGGAGTCAGTTACAAGTTCGACTCCGATATTTTTTTTTTCGATTTACCAAAACTTAATTTTTAACATTAGTAAATAGAAAAATAAAGCGTAATATCTGTCACATAGATTTATATCACTTGTAGGACAGAAAGATGAGCGAATCACTTTCCA